AAAAAACATACAACAAAGAACTTTGTCGGCTTTCAGAACCATTCCCCTGTATTAACTGTGATGATGACCCAAGAATTTTACTGACGAGGTTATAACGATGGTAGATAGAATCTACACTAGTTAGGTATTTTATTCATACCCAGGACAGCAGCACACTGTGTATTGGGACTCTGGACAGGGATTCATAGGGCAAATAAAATTGGGACATGGCCACACACTTGGATCCATCGGGCGTGGTCTACATTCCCCACCATTCAAACGTCTACAAGGTTCTGTAGAAAAGAAAAGTTGGTCTTTTTTTAGCCTTACAAGAGTCATGTCCGACACAACCAGAGAAACATTTTGGTTTTAATTTCCATGTCTCCGGCTTTGCTGAAAGAGAAAATCCTGACAACAAACGATGATCACGAAAAGCAATACCCACACACTCTCATACCTGGCTCATGATAGCGCTTGGCTTTAGGGTTCATAGACTTCTGTTGGTTTTCTGGCTGTGCGCCCTGCACAGTAATAATCCCCAAAGTAATCAGCAACAGGCACAAATTCATTGTTTTACTGCAACCAAAAAACAATGAAGTATGCTCATGCTATCAGTAAAAGTCGCTGATTGTCTCGTCTTGCTGTGATTAGTCAGATTACAGTACAAAGTTTGACTCAGAAAAAGGAAAAAGCAAATGGAAATTGGAAACCAAAACACTCAGTAAAGAAAAGCTTTGTTAACCAAATTCCAACTTCATCAGCAATTAAACAGAGAGGTAACTTGTCGGTAAAAGCATCTTAGTCCTTAGAAAGTAACTCCTATTGGAGCTACTGAAAGCAGTTAAATCACCCCTTTCTAAAATTTGTCTTCGCCGTTTATACTGATTTCGTTTCAGCACTATATGAGAACAAAATGCTTGATATAATACCACACGTCAGCTTGCATTTGATAAGTAAAATAGGAATCGGTACTCAAAATTTGCAAAACAAAGCGTTATAAGGGAAAACGTAATCAAGATGCTTTGCTAATGAATTTTGGGATGAAAAATGCTCCTAAGCTATCTTAAAGACAGATACTGATTTTTTTCACAAGCTGGGTAAAATAATCAGTAAATCGTGTAATCAGTCACGTAATATTTTAATTCCTAAGACATGGTCTGGTGTTTATTCAACATTCTGTCAACTTTTTAACTATCATAACAATGTCAGCAATTATTTCAAGTTTAAATTTCAAAAACGCTACAAAATAATAAATTATTTAACATCATCACAGCTGCTTCAATGCGCTAATTTAAACTGAAGCCATTCTTTAACTTTAGTCTATTTAAAACTAATTTTTTGTAATTAACAACCTATTTTACTTCACGTCGTTTTTGTCCAATTTGCACCAAATCTAACATTTTTATAATCAGTAACAAATTCAAAGCATTTTCACTATCAATAAATATCTTATTTTACTTCATTTTGTTACCATACAGTAGCTAAATTTCTATTCCACATCGACACAGCTACCTCAATGCATTAACAAGCCAAATTTAATTCTATTTCCTTGCATTCATCGCATTTTCAAAAGCTACTAAATATCTATTTTAAAAAACGAATTATGGCTATTTGCGTGAGATTCAAGTAGTCTTTATTTTATTTTATTTTTTTATTTTTTCATTTTTTCTTCACTCTACGTTAGCTAGTATTTGGACAAATGAAAGATTATTCCACATAAACACACCTTTCTGAATGCGCTATGAGCCAAGATACCACGATTTGTATATTTCCGATACAGTGTAAATCCATACATTATCTTTGTTTCACCTTTTCAATCCCACGTTATATCATCAACACACCTGCTTCATTGCACCTACTAAGCATCCCTTACTATATATGCGATCAACAATATAGACTGTTTCTCAGATTAATAACATTATGTCCTATTTTGCTTCATTTTTATCTAATCTGCGCAAAATTCAAACTATCTTTTAATCAACGAAAGACATTACTTTGCTGAACTTTTTATTCATATATTTGCTAAATATATCAGACCATTTTAAAATTCGCTCAAGTCTACTTTCTTTGCAAAACGGTGTCTTTGCATGTTAGTGATAATATAGATGAGGCTTAGAAGTAAAATGCCCGCGGTGGATTTTGCAGAGGAACCTTGGTCTATTTGTTAACGCACAAAATATCAATAGTCTTGAATGCAAAACATATTTTCTTAATGTTGTATCATCAAGTTTAGAACACATTTCCTATTAATTGTAACATCTTTTTTAGGTATCACAAACTAGCAAGAAATGTCTCAAAAATGACGCTGTTATTACAGCCTTTTGCAAAAAGGGAAAACTCAGGCTTATCCCAGCTGAAAGTTCAAGTCGAGGCCGTGATTCGAGGTTTAATTGCATAGGAAGTAATAAGCTCTGATGTAAATTAATTCGCTAGAATGATACATTGAACTAAACACTATTGATGTCTTTACCTTTCTCTTGGCACTTTTCAGGAATAGTCACAGCTCGATGTCAAAGCGCCCTCTTTAAGTGCTGAGTAGAAGTGGTGAAGATTTCTCTGACTTAAACAATTAAGGTCTCATTATTAATGTTTAGCTTTCGCGTGACTCGAGCAGCCGTCAGTCTTTTGTAATATGAATGACACACATCACTTCAGAGCATTCTTACATCTGCATGTCGTTGCTCAACTACAAAAACCTAACAGTCTGGTATACTGTCTTCTTCATTTATCCCCAAAGCCTTCGATGTTAATCCAGGCTGTTAATCCTACTCGTGTTTCAATTCTTTTTCATATTTTTACTTGACAGAAAGACTCTTTCTGTAGTCCAAATCAGTGGACTCTCAGTGTAACAGCGACTAACAAAAATACAAAGGACTGTAACAAATTCCATATATCTCCTTTATCGCATGCAAGCTTCTGTAATATTTCGTCTTTAATTCATCCGTGTTCGTCATTTCACGGTGTTGAAGCTGAACATATTTCTTAAAGTGAAAATGTGCGGTCAAGATCTGATTTTCTAGTTACGTCATCAGACTTCTTCTTCTCTTATCCTAAGGCGAAGTCCTTAGTTGAACGTACACTGGGTATCAGTCACATTAAATTTCATTAATACTGATTGGCGCAGATTGGCGCGGATCTTCAGTTTAGAAAAGAGACATTTTGTGAACTACTGTCAACTTGGTAAAGTTGATCCTGCTGTGATAGTAAACTCGTGATAAATTACTAGATATCATCCCCTCTAGTAAGGGAATATTACAACCGTGAAGGCTTTTTTAAAACTTCAAAAAGCTTAGATACACTTACAGAACTGTCAGATACTCGTGAAAAAATAGTTTGTGGCAAGTCTGACTCGGAGTTGCGTCTCGGGCATTTGGCATTCGTTAGAATTTAACAGCAAACTAGTTGAGTATCGTGCTCAAAGTCACGTTCGCGAATTCAAACCCAGAGAGGGGGGGAACTCACATATGAGAAGAACAGGGTTGCTCGTCGGAAATTTTGAAAAGAAACCCCAAGAGGTACCAAGATCCTGTTTTGTGGGCGTGGCTTGAAATGTTTTCACCTCTAAGAGGTACCGATTCTAAAACAACACACTATCTCCTGTAATATTTATTTCGGCTCAATACACTAAAAGATACTACGAAAGCTCCCGCTTTGGATGTTTTCAGGCTATACCCTAAGAGGCACCAAAACCGCGTTTTTAACCCCTTAAAGGTACGACGAGCACCCCCGTCCATTTAATAGGGGAGTCCCCCATCCCCGGGAATTCAAGATGTTAGCAGTCTGGCCTTCCACCGCAAAAAGATTCCCAATACACAGGTTAGAAGTTATTACGTAAAAGAGGTCACGCGACCTTCTGTATTTCCATATATAGCCTTAAATAATTAAGGAGTTCATCCATTCAGGACAGAAACAGTTGCCCTTAAAAGTGGTTAAACATTTCTTGTGGTTAGTTTTCCGTGATAGCTCACTATCCTTGGCCCATTTTAGAAATCATCTTTAGCAAGCCTGTGACGTCACGAATCACGTGACCACCATAAGTTTAAGGATGTCGAATTTTGTTTGTGGTACGTTTTTGGCTCCCTCTGGGAGACGTTGACGTTGCTTTAGATCAAAAACAGTTTTATCTTTGCGGGTGTCTGCACGGCATATAAGCCATGCCGTAACATGCTTGAGGATAAAGAAAGTGGACTCTTCACGTGTTAAACCTGTTTGATCACCTGTTATCTGCTGATGCAAAGTAAACTAATTATTTGACACGTTTGGTGGAATATTAATTATGTTAAAACTAATTCAATTCATGTCATTTTATTTCCTTCAAGAACACAACTTATAATTTTGCTAGTATTTATGGTATTCGAATTGCTCTTCGAGTATGGTGAACATGGATTGAGCTCGGTTGCCCGGATACTAAATGTGATCCCACAAATCTCGTATATTTAAACTTGAAAAATTTGCTTATGCTGATAAAACGTTAAGATCAAAAGAGTCCTTTGGAATACCTTCTCGTGCTCTCGACCAGTATGTTAAAATAGTTTTATCAGTCCGTACGACGATACGCACACGTGCTCGGGTTGCGCGTTTTGAACAGAAATCATGTATTC